GAGAATATTTTCCAAGAACTAAATAAAAATATGGAGATGCTATGGAAAATTGATGCGGTGGAAAATAAGCGTCAGAAAATGTCTCTGGAGCAGCAAAATTGCGAGCAGCATTTTTTGAAAAATGTCTCTGTTCAAAATGATGGACGTATTATGGTGAAGCTGCCCCTAAAGGGTGATCCAAATTGTCTTGGCGATTCCCGTGATATTGCCCTTCGACGCTTCTTTTCCATGGAGAGAAAATTAAACAAAAATCCAGACTTGAAAAATGAATACTCCAACTTTCTCAGGGAATATGAAGAAATGGGTCATATGTCTCAGGTGAATGAAGCCGAAGTTGGTTTCCCTAACTACTACATACCACATCACTGTGTTCTTCGACCAAACAGTGTCTCCACGAAACTTCGTGTTGTTTTCGACGCATCATGTCGTACTTCTTCTCAATTGTCCCTGAATGAGATCATGATGGTGGGCCCAACAATCCAAAACAATTTATTAATCACCCTGCTTCGTTTCAGATGTCATCGCTATGGATTGACAGCTGATATTGTCAAAATGTATCGGCAGATTTTGGTCCACCCTGAGGATAGGAAACTCCAGTTGATTCTTTGGAGACATGACCCTACACAACCGGTAAAAACTTTTGCTCTTAATACCGTTACATACGGAACTGCCTCAGCACCATATTTGGCCATCAGAGCATTGAATTATGCTGCCGAACGTTTTCCCGAACCTTACGACGTTGGGAAGTCTGTGGTCACAAATGATTTTTACGTCGATGATATGGTGACTGGTGCTGACGATCTTGCCTCTTTACAATGCATCAAGTAGGAGGTATCAGAAATTTTATCTTACTCTAAATTCTCACTATCGAAGTGGCATAGCAATTGCCCAGAATTGACTTCAATGGACGATGGGATCAAAGAGATGAAACTGGATGATGACGTCACTAGCACTTTGGGAATGACATGGCACTCAAACGATGATACATTCCACTTTGAGTTTCGGCCATCAAAAATGTATTCACATAATACTAAAAGAAATATTTTGTCTCTGACGTCAACCCTCTTTGACCCAATGGGCTTAATAAGCCCACTCATAATAAAAGCCAAAATCTTACTCCAACATCTTTGGATTATAAAATGTGATTGGGATGAATCAGTACCCCAAGAAATTGACTCGGCTTGGAATAATATTATGGCGGATTATCGTAATTTGTCGCAAATTAAAGTTCCTCGATACATTCGAATGCCGAATTATACCAATATTCAACTTCATGGTTTTGGAGATGCCTCAATGAAGGCATATGGTTGTTGCCTGTACTTTCGATGCGAAGACTCATTCGGCAACATATCTGTACATTTAATTGCATCAAAATCCAGAGTTGCACCTTTAAAAACAAGAACTCTGCCTCGTCTGGAATTATGTGCTGCCCATTTACTCGCGACGTTCTGGAGCCAATTGAAACTGTACTTTAAATTTCCTATTTCAAAAACATTTTTTTGGTCGGATTCTCAAATTACCCTTCATTGGATAAATTCGCACTCTTCGACTTTATCAACATTCGTGGGAAACCGAGTAGCAGAAATTCAAGAAATTTGCAATGATGTCTCTTGGCAATATGTCCCAACGGACCAGAATCCAGCCGATTTAGTATCTCGAGGTTGCTCTGTGGACGATTTATTGAATTCAGCTTGGTATCAGGGGCCTTCCTTTCTCAGGAGTCCATTTCACGATTGGCCAAATCGTTCCGGTCCAAATCTAAGCGAGTGTGAATTGCAATTGGAGAAACGCAAAACCACTTTGGCAGCAAAAATAGAAGGATTGCCCGATATGTTAAATATTGTCCATAAATTCAGTAGCTATTTAAAATGTCTCAGAATTTTCTCATACATTTTTCGTTTTCGTTCAAGGAAAATTCCGAAAGAGGTCACAATAACTCCAGATGAATTGAAACATTCTCTTCACAGAATTGTATGGCTAATTCAACAGCACTATTTCTCAGAGGAATTTATGGAACTCTCAAAACATGGCTCTGTTTCTGGTCAGCTATCATCTTTGGCTCCGTTTATAGAAGAAGTTGATGGAGTGCCGTTAATCCGTGTAGGTGGTCGGTTGTTGAATTCAAATTTGACTACAGATGCTAAATTTCCCTTGCTCCTACCAAAGAATGACCATTTTGTTAAAAATATGATAATTCATATTCATCGCACAAATTACCATGCTGGCCCAAGAGCATTGGTATCTCTGACTCAACAACAATTTTGGATTATCAATTGCCGATTTTTGGCAAGACAAGTGGTTCATAACTGCATACATTGCTCGAGGTACAAACCAAAATTGCTGACTCAAGTAATGGGCAACTTACCCAAGGATCGAGTAACTGGTTCTCGTCCATTTGAAGTAGTTGGAGTTGATTTCGCTGGCCCTATACCCACATACCTTAGGATCCGTGGAAAGGCACCATACAAATCCTATATAGCAGTATTTGTCTGCTTCTCTACAAAGGCTGTGCACTTGGAAGCTGTATCAGACTTGTCCAGCGATGCTTTCATAGCATCTCTCAAGCGTTTCGTTGGACGCAGAGGCATTCCGTCCAAAATATATTGTGATAATGCCACAAACTTTGTTGGCGCTGAAAAGAAGCTTAATGAATTCAATCATCATTTCCACCAAAAATCCAATATAACAGCCATTGCTGATTTTGCCTCAACAAAATTCATTGAATTTTCATTTATTCCTCCCAGAGCTCCTCATTTTGGCGGATTATGGGAAGCGGCCGTTAAATCAACAAAAGGTCACTTGCTCCGGACGCTACCTAATGCTCGACTGACCTTCGAAGAGTTATCCACAGCTCTGGTGGAAATTGAGGCAATTTTAAATTCGCGTCCGATTGGCTCTTTATCAACAGATCCCAATGACCTTGAAGCCCTTACTCCTGGGCATTTATTAATAGGCTGTCCCTTGCAAAGTATTCCAGAGAAGACAAATTTTGACTCGGAGATATCTCATTTGCAACACTGGCAGAAAATTTCGGGAATAAAGTCTCATTTTTGGCGCAGGTGGCACAACGAATATCTTGCTCAACTTCAAAATCGCTATCGTTGGCAAAAACCAAAACAAAATCTAAAGGTCAATGATTTGGTCATTGTTCATGAAGACAATGTTCCTCCGATGAAATGGGTTCTTGGTCGTGTCACACACATTGTCCCTGGGGCAGATGGAGTTGCTCGGGTAGCTGACGTGAAAACACCAACTTCAACATTTCGACGCCCAATCGCAAAATTAGCAGTCTTACCCCAAGATGAAAATTTGATTGAAACCGGAGGTTTCAATGGGGCCCGGCATGTTAAATCCCTTTAATAATTCTTATTAAATTTATTTAATATTTTTTGACTCAAGGGCCATTTAATTTTGTTCATAAAATTATATATTTTTTATTTAAAAAATACTTAAATTAATGTAAATTCTATTAATTTATTTTGGTATTGCTTTAATATTATGTTGGCACCAAACGAGAGCCGCCCTAATGCCCTTTTTGTTATTCCTCTTTGTGCGATGTACGTGAATTCGCCGCACAAAGAGAATAACACTGTTTGTTGTTGTTTAAACGCAACAGCAGTTGAACGATCTAACAAGAGGAATGTATGTACACACGCACATACATTTATTTACATATTCTTTTTCTCTGCCTCTGTCGATCGTTCTGCTGCTGTTCTATGAAAAAAAAAATATTGTCCCGCTATCCTGGTTGGTATGCCAGAATATTAGAACAATAAAACATTAATATTTGAAACATTTGAAGACGAAAGACGTTTGTTTTATTGAAAACATTGGTGACGGGAAAGAAAGCAAAATATAAAGAAATTTTACCCAACACACTTGTTGAGTGAAATAATTTCAAAGTGCAACATTTTAATAAATTATATTTAAATAAAGGAAAAATAATTAAAATATCTTGCTCGTGAGCAAAGAATAAATTGTTCCTGAAACAAAATTATATTCGAAATTTGTACTGCCTTACTCATTAAGGCAATTTGTGGAAGAATTGATAAAAGTCCAACGATCGGAGGAAATCAGTGCTGCAGACAAACAACTTGCCCTGTTGTTGGACAAATATATATATATGAAGGAAAAGCTTACTCTGATCCTCCTCAGAGTAAGCTTTTGGGACGAAATTATTGCTGCCTCGAGAGGAAGACTTGGTTGCCCTTTGGACAAACCATATATAGTGAGTGCCCCTTTGGAACAAATCACACTGAACCACGGAGTAAGTACATTTGACATACTCAAGCCGAACCCTTGAGTTAGGAGTTTGTTTAATCGCATATTGGACAAATTCCTGGGTTGTCAAAATAGGCAATCCTCAAAACTTTCGATAAAATAAAATGCATTTCACAGGATTTTTTCTAAACATCTAAAGATCCACCAAATTTTCTATAAAAAAATGCATTCCACAATATTTTTTTATAAAAATTTTACGTTCCACAATTTTTTTAAGAGAACACAGAGGTCCACAATTTGTTCAAAAAAATTAGGTTCCACAAAATATTCTATATAAAAAAAAAATTGCATTCCACAGGGTTTTCTAATAAAAAATTACATTCCACAAGTTTTCTTCATAACAAATTAGGTACCACAAAATTTTCGATAAAACATAATGCGTTCCATAGGATTTTTTTAAAAAAATCTTACGTTCCACATTAAGATTAATGAGCTCCACAAAATTTGATCGAGAAAAAAGTTTTCCTCATACAAAAATTAGGTCCCACAAAATTTTCGATAAAATAAAATACCTTCCACAAAATTTTTGAACATATTTTACGTTCCACATGGTTTTTCTTCTTAAATGAATAAGTTCCACAAAATTTGCTCGAGAAAAAATTAGGTTCCACAAAATATTCTATCAAAAATAATGCATTCCACAGGATTTTCTCCTAAAAAAAACTTAAGTTCCACAAGTTTTCCTCATATCAAATTAGGTCCCACAAAATTTTCGATAAAATGAAATAATTTCCACAGGATTTTTTATAAAAATCTTAACTTCCAGAGAATTTTCTATTTCAAAAAATACACCCAACATAATTTTTTTTATAAAAATCTTACGTTCCACATGGTTTTTCTTAAAAAAATAATAAGTTCCACAAAATTTGCTCGGGAAAAACTTAGGTTCCACAAAAAAATTCTATATAAAAGAAATTGCATTCCACAGGATTATCTAAAAAATATTACATCCCACCAGTTTTCCTCATAAAAAATTGGCTCCCACAAAATTTTCGATATAATAAAATACATTCCACAGGATTTTTTTTATAAAAATCTTACGTTCCACGTGGTTTTTCTTTTAAAATTAATGAGTTCCACAAAATTTGCTTGGGAAAAAATTAGTTTCCACAAAATATTCTATTCTATTCATTCCACAGGATTTTCTATTAAAAAAAATACGTTCCACAAGTTTTCCCCATAACAAATTAGGTTCCACAATTTTTTTCATAAAATAAAATGCATTCCACAGGATTTTTTCAAATCATTTTACGTTCCACAAATTTTTCTTTAATAAATAATGCCTCACACACGATGTTTTATTAAAAATATTACGTTCCACAAAATTTCCCAATAAAAATTTTACGTTCCACAAAATTTCCCAAAGAAAATTTCACGTTCCACAAAATTTCCCAATAAAAATTTTACGTTCCACAAAATTTCCCAATGTAATTTTACGTTCCACAAAATTTTTCCAAAGTAAATTTTACGTTCCACAACTTTCCCAAAGAAAATTTTACGTTCCACAAAATTTCCCAAAGAAAATTTTACGTTCCACAAAATTTCCCAAAGAAAATTTTACGTTCCACATAATTTCCCAAAGAAAATTTTACGTTCCACAAAATTTTCCATAGACAAATCAAGATCCTCACACAAATAATGGGTTCCACAAAACTTTCCTATAGAAAATATCAGGATCCACAGAAAATCTTTTAAAAATCAATATAGGAAGTCACAAAGAGAAAAATTCCATGGGCGTCACAAAATTTCGAAATTTTTAATCTTTGAAAATCCAGTCAATATTTCCAAGGCTAGTAGTAACCACTTCCAAAATGAAAATCAGGAAAAAAAGAAAAACTGTCAAAGTTTTTCCCATTGCCATCTTAAGAAAAATCAATGCCTGTTATAGATGTTGTTAACAATCCAAAAAAAGGAAAAAAAAATCCGAAACATAGCAAATCTCTTGTAGCAGCTTATCTGGGTAATCTATTCAGGCTGTTCTTGTTGTTGTTGCTGTCATTTTTGTGTGTATGTTTTTTTGGAGGCCATAAAAGGATTTGCCATTTCCATGAAAGAATGAACGAATTTTTATTTGGATCACAAAGAAGGCAAACAAAAAATGTAAATGTCGAAAATGTAACGAAAAACAACATTTCTGCTGAAAAGAGTGTGGGAGGTGGAGGAGGAGGTGGTGGTTGGTGCAGTTCGGTGGTCAATGTGTGCCATTTTGGCCACAGATGATGCTGACGATGATGATGATGCACTGGAATTGATATAAACATTATTATTTAGATTTATGAGCCATTGTTATTGTTGTTGCTGTTATTTGATTGGCATTGTAAAAAAAATGTGGGAGGCCAGGCATTGAAGACATACGAACGACGAATGTGTGGGCTCAGCTCGAAGATGGACAAAACTTATGGCGAATCCATAACGACAACCACCAATAAATGTCAAGGGTATTGGCATCCTTAAATTGCAATTTGCGTGGTTTTGTAATTTGCAATTACTTGGAAAAATAATAATTATGTGCCAAAATTGGCAGAGGAAAATTTGATGTGGAAAATCATAAAGAAACCTGTAAGGAAAATAGTAAAGTCGGACTGGGACGACTATATGATAACCTTTACCTTACTTACTTACAAGGGTAAATTCGGTACGCTATGCCAAATTTCGTGTAAATCGAAGGATAAAAAAGGAACTTTGGTGTACTTTTTACCTAAAATCGGTTGAAAATATATATGGGAGCTATATCTAAATCTGAACCGATTTTCAGGAAACTTAACACACATCATTCTAGAGATAATTCATTAGGCTGTGCCAATTTTCGTGCAAATCGAAAGATATATAGGGACTTTGGTGCACCATCTACATTAAATCGGACGAAAATATAATTAGGAGCTATATATAAATCTGAACCGATTTTCAGGAAACTTAACACACATCATTCTAGACCTAATTTGTTACGCTGTGCCAAATTTCGGTTGAAAAATACGATCAGAACCCCCAAAATACCAAAAATTTGGGGGTGCCGTTATATGGGGACTACCAGAAAAACTGGACCTATATTTATAATTTTTAGTGGAGTCATTTGGTACCCCATAAGAATCCAATGTACAAAATTTCAGAGAATTCAGTTATAAAACGAGCCCAAGAACCCGAAAACACCGAAAATTAAGGGTACCCTTTTATGGGGGCTCTCCGAAGAAATTGACCTCTATTTATAATTTTTGGTAGGGAGATTTGCTACCCAATAAGAACTCAACGTACCAAATTTCAGCGAATTCGGTTGAAAAATGCGATCAAAACCCCCAAAATACCGAAAATTTGGGGGTACCCTTATATGGGAGCTATCCGAAAAAATGGACCTTTATTTATAATTTTTGGTAGAGAGATTTGCTACCCAATAAGAACTCAAAGTACCAAATTTCAGCGAATTCAGTTAAAAAACGCGCTCAAGAACCTCAAAATACCGAAAATTTGGGGGTACCCTTATATGGGGGCTATCCGAAAAAATTGACCTTTATTTATAATTTTTGGTAGGGAGATTTGCTACCCAATAAGAACTCAAAGTACCAAATTTCAGCGAATTCAGTTAAAAAACGCGCTCAAGAACCTCAAAATACCGAAAATTTGGGGGTACCCTTATTTGGGAGCTATGCCTAAACGTGGACCGATTTTCTCCAATTTCAATAGGGTTCGTCCTTGAGCCAATTAAGTGACCTGTGCCAAATTTCATACAATTCGGATCATAAATGCGACCTGTACTTTGTTTACAATTTAACATGGACAGACGGACAGACGGACATGCGTAAATCGACTCAGAAAGTGATTCTATGCATATTCTCAAAAAGAACCATGGGTCTATCTCGATTATTTTTACCTGTTACAAACATATGCACAAAGACATAACTCCCTGTACCACAGTGTGGTGAAGGGTATAAAAAGGGACTTTGGATCTATATTTACCTAAAATCGGACGAAAATATATATGGGAGCTATATCGAAATCTGAACCGATTTTCAGGAAATTCAACACACACTATTCCAGACTCAATTCAATGCGCTATGCTAAATTTCGTGAAAGTCGAAGGATATATAGGTACTTTGGTACACCATTTACATAAAATCGGACGAAAATATACATGGGAGCTATATCGAAATCTGAACCGATTTTCTCGAAACTTAGCACAAATCGTTCTAGACTCAATTCAGTATGGTATGCCGAATTTCGTGCAAATCGAATGATATATAGGGACTTTGGTGCACTATTTACCTAAAATCGGACGAAACTATATATGGGAGCTATATCTAAAACTTAACCGACTTTCAGGAAATTTAACACACAACATTCTAGACCTAATTCAGTACACTATGCCAAATTTCGTGCAAATCGAAAAATATTTAGGGACTTTGGTACACCATTTACCTAAAATCGGATGAAATTATATATGGGAGCTATATCTAAATCTGAACCGATTTTCATGAAATTTAACATACATCGTTCTAAACATAATTCAGTACGCTGTGCCATATTTCGTGCAAATCGAAGGATATAAAGGGACTTTGGAGCACTATTTACCTAAAATCGGACGAAAATATATATGGGTGCTATATCGAAATCTGAACCGATTTTTCCAAAACGTACCACTCATCATTCTAGACTTAATTCATTACGCTATGCCAAATTTCGTGCAAATCGAAAGATATATAGGGGCTTTGATGCTCCAGTTCCTTAAAATCGGTATATGTCAGTTTTATCTAATTACTTGTCCAGATTCCCTTCGCCGTGGGTTGTGTTGTGATGTTCGGCTTTCAATTTTGGCTCGACTCGAAAAAAACCACAAAAAATTAAGTTTTCGGCCCACTTCATCCCAATGTTATTATCTGATCATCAGCGAAACTTCTAGGCATTGTCCTTGACCATATCTGGATCCTCATGGACAATTTCAAAGCGATCAGCGCTATATTTCAGCCCTCTAGTGTGGTAATGGGTTACTAAATAATATCTGAATACGTAAGGACCTGTAAATATTTTCGTGTAACTCCCACATCCGAGCGCATACGACACTGTAATTGGTATCAATTTATAGGCCAACCACTGCTCTGGGATAAATTATCAACTTCTCGGCTCTATGTCCTTCAGGGGCAAATATATCCGCAATAGAATACAAAATTTGTAATTTTTCACACAAAAGTCAGGGTCCATTTGACCCGCTAAATATTGACCAATCTTTATCAAAACAGGCATGCTTATTCTTTGGCCCGATCCCCTTCTCCATGGTTGCGGCCTCTGGAGCGACCAAAAAAGTCAGACAAAAATAAAGTTTTTGGTCCATTCCACCCGCTAAATATTAACCGATCTTTACCAAAAACAATAGGGTCTTCATTGGCCAGAACCCATTCTACATGCAAAATTCCGTGAAGATTTGTCCATAACTGTGGCCTGTATCTTGTTTACAAATTATAATGGACAGACGGACGGACGGACGGACACACATGTCTAGATCGACTCAGCTAGTCGAGATATGATGATCGGTATGCTTAAAGGTGGGTCTATGACCAATATTTCGCGGCATTACAAACTCTTGGGGCTGCACAAAGCTTTAATACCTTGACAACATAATTGTGTAGGGTATAAAAACTATTTCAAATTTGTTTTCTCTTTTCATCCAATTAATTTTCTCTTTTTTTCTCTCTCACTCTCTTTCCAGTTCTCACAATTTACGTGTGTGTATTATGCAGAAAATGTCAGCAATAAACAAAAGCAATATTACGGTGAGAAAGAGAGGATCCTAAATGCTAGGAGGAAGCAGCAAGCTACAACAGCAACTGAGCAAAAGAGAGAGAGCACATAAAAGCAAACCCAAGCCTTTGAGAGAGGGAGAGTGCAAAAAACAACTACCAGAAAAATAAACCGCAAGCCACCGCTATTTACTCCCACACTTTACGCTTTTTTGGTTTTTTCATTAAAAGAAAAGAAGAGAGAGGAAAGAGAAACAGCCAATAACTATTTTCTTCTCTCTTTGAAAGTGACGCCGCCGAAAAAAGAGAGTAAAATTTCTAAAAGTTTACTCTGTTTTTAAGCTGCCATTTTGTTTAGTTTTGGTTGCCTAATTTTTTAGTTTTTCTGATTTTTTTGTTTTGTTTGGCAACCATCCCACCCACCGCTTCAAATCATCAAAGTCAGTCAGCCACCAATCTTGTAACCTTGCAAAAAATTAAAAAAAAGAACCGGGCATTCCGACATCCTTAGCCACCCACCCAATTCACCTTGGGTCCTTAAATTGGGTGCTTGAAGTTTATTATTAAAACATTCCGCCACATAGCATGGCCTCGGTCGCCGCTTGGCTGCCATTTGCACGGGCGGCGGCCATTGGTTGGGTGCCCATCGCTACCAATCCCCTGCCACCGGCTCCCATACCCAAAGATCGTCGCAAGACCGACGACGAAAAGCTGCTCATCAACGTCTCCGGCCGGCGTTTCGAGACATGGCGCAATACGCTGGAAAAATATCCCGACACCCTGCTGGGCTCGAACGAGCGAGAGTTCTTCTATGACGAGGATTGCAAAGAGTATTTCTTTGATCGGGATCCGGACATCTTTCGTCACATTCTCAATTATTATCGCACTGGCAAACTGCATTATCCCAAACACGAGTGTCTCACCAGCTATGACGAGGAGTTGGCATTCTTTGGCATAATGCCGGACGTCATAGGCGATTGTTGTTACGAAGACTATCGTGATCGCAAACGGGAAAATGCCGAACGTTTAATGGATGATAAGCTATCAGAGAATGGTGACCAGAACCTGCCGCAGCTAACCGACATCCGCCAGAAGATGTGGCGCGCATTCGAAAATCCTCACACCTCCACGGCGGCTCTCGTCTTCTACTATGTCACGGGATTCTTCATTGCCGTCTCGGTGATGGCCAATGTGGTGGAAACGGTGCCTTGTGGCCATCGGCCCGGCCGAGCTGGTACACTGCCCTGTGGCGAACGCTACAAAATCGTGTTCTTCTGTCTGGACACGGCGTGCGTCATGATCTTCACCGCCGAGTATCTGCTGCGTCTGTTCGCGGCACCGGATCGCTGCAAATTCGTGCGCAGCGTGATGAGCATAATCGATGTGGTGGCCATCATGCCCTACTATATTGGTCTGGGCATAACGGACAATGATGATGTGAGCGGTGCATTTGTCACGTTGCGGGTCTTCCGCGTCTTTCGTATTTTTAAGTTTTCGCGGCATTCGCAAGGCTTGCGTATCTTGGGCTATACGCTCAAGTCGTGTGCTTCCGAATTGGGTTTTCTGGTGTTTTCGTTGGCAATGGCGATTATCATCTTTGCGACGGTTATGTTCTATGCGGAGAAGAATGTGCATGGTACAAATTTCACATCGATACCGGCGGCATTTTGGTATACAATTGTCACGATGACAACATTGGGGTAAGTGGCGATCTGGCGATCAGTGATCTCAGCTATGAGAGATCGATGTTAACCTTAAAAAAATAATGTTTTTTTCTTCTTTTCCCCCCATCCAGTTATGGTGACATGGTCCCGGAGACAATAGCGGGCAAAATTGTTGGTGGTGTCTGCTCGCTTAGCGGTGTGCTTGTCATCGCCCTACCTGTACCTGTTATTGTATCTAACTTTAGTAGAATTTATCATCAAAATCAACGAGCCGATAAACGAAAGGCCCAGAGGGTAAAATTTAAAAAAAATCCTCTCATTAAAATCTCTCCATAAAATAATTCTCTCTCTCTTTCTCTCCTTTTACAGAAAGCTCGATTGGCCCGCATACGCATTGCCAAGGCTTCGTCGGGCGCCGCCTTTGTCAATAAGAAGAAGGCTGCCGAGGCCCGCTGGGCTGCCCAGGAATCGGGCATTGAATTGGATGACAATTATCGTGATGAGGATATTTTCGAACTGCAGCATCATCATTTACTCAGATGTCTGGAAAAAACAACGGTAAGTTGATGATGGGGGCAGGAAAGAGGTGAAGAGGGAAACAATTGAGGGTGAAAGGTGATTTAGATGCTTTGGAGCCAGTGGAAGCTTGGGGGAAAAATTCCATAATTTTATTATGGTTCTTTAAGGAAACTTGTAAGCATTTTAGGACCTCTTCGAAGTCGAAGGACCATTTCGGGGGAAAATATCACCAATGATACCTTGGGGGAAATTTTTTCATAATTTTTTGATGGTTCTTTAAGGGCACTTGCGAGCAATAGAGGGTAGTCCTCGTAGTCGTAGAACCATTTCGTCAGGGAAAAAATCCTCATTAATAATTACCCCTCATAAATTAGCTGCCATTGAAGGTTCCGGTTCATTTTCCGAATTTTTTGAAGCTTTGAGCCGCATTTCCCTCCAAAAAAGGCCTCAAATTTGGCATTTTGGCTTGTAGGAGGGTAGAAACCATCCTTTCGAAATGTTTTGGATAAAGATCCATGTTTTGACTTAGCACTCACATAACTGATCCGCACCATTTCCGGTTGTTTTGGGGGTCCTAAAGACATTTGTCAACCGAAGAGGCTGTTATTGGCATTATCGGGTTCTTGGATGGATGAAAAACCTAGTTGGAAACAAATTTTCAATATAGGTCCATGTTTTGATATATTAAGGTTCCGCCCTAACTTCGATATTTTGGAGGGTTTTGCCGCATATTTTCACGGATGTGGCTGTAATTTCGCATTCAGGATTCTTGGAGGGTGATGTACAACTGTGCAGGAAAAGTTCAATGTAGGTCCATGTTTTGACATATCGCCCATAAAAGGTTCCGTCCGATTTTCGATATATTGAAGATTTTAGACTCATTTTCCCACCGACAAGGCTGCAATTTCGCATTCAGGGTTCTTGGAGGCCAACATACCTCTGCGCAGAAAAAATTCAATGTAGGTTCATGTTTTGACATAGCTGCCATATATAGAGGTTCCGTCCGATTTTCGGTATTTGGAAGATTTTGGCCTTAATTTCCAAGCGAAGTGGTTGTAATTGAATTTTTAGGGTTCTTGGAGGCTGACATACCTTTGTGCAGAAAATATTTAATGTAGGTCTATGTTTTGACATAGCTGCCATATAGAGGTTCCGTCCGATTTTCGGTATTTTGAAGATTTTAGACGCTTTTTCCAAGCGAAGTGGCGGTAATTTAATTTCTGGTTTCTTGGAGGCTGATTCACCCCTGTGCAGAAAATTTTCAATGTGGGTCCATATTTTGGTTCCGTTCGATTTTCGGTACTTTGAAGATTTTGGACTCAATTTTTATGGGAAGAGGCTTTAATTTTTGAAGATTTTAGCAGCACTTTCCAAGCACAGTGACTGTAATTTGGACCAGTGTAACGAATTGAGGTTAGAATTATGTGTGTTAAGTTTGGTGAAAATCGGTTCAGATTTCTATATAGTTCCGATTTATAAATTCGTCGGATTTCAGGGAAATGTTGCACAAAACACCTAAAAATGTTATTAGATTGGGACGAAATTTTGCTAATCATATTGATATAAAGTTAGAATCATGTGTGTTAATTTTGCTGGAGATAAGTTCAGGTTTCGATATATCCCCCATATATTATTTCGTCCGATTTCAGGTAGATGATGCCCCAAACGCGCAAAAATTGTCGGATTGGGATGAAATTTCTCATGGCATACTGAATTGAGGTTTTAGAGGCGTATGTAAAGATTTGTGGAAATCGCTTCGGATTTCGATGTAGCTCTCATATATAATTTCGTCCGATTTTAGGTAAAGGAGGCAATAAAAGTCCAATGTTTGTCCGATTGACATACAATTTAGTAAATCATACGGAATTAAGGTTAGAATGAGGTATCATAAGTTTCGTTGAAATTGGTTCAGTTTTTTATATAGCTCCCATATATAATTTCGTCCGATTTCACAGAAATGGTGCACCAAGGACCCAATGTTTGACCGATTGAATCAAAATTTAGTATACCGCGCCGAATTAAGGTTAGAATACTGTTTCTTAAGTTTGGTGAAAATAGGTTAAGATTTCGATATAGCTCCCATATATAAGTTCGTCCGATTTGTGGAAAATGGGTCACCAATGACTTAAATTTCCTCCGATTGCCACGAAATTTTGCACAGTTTACTTGTATGAGGTTAGAATCATATATATTAAGTTTTGTGGAAATCGGTTCAGATTTCGATTCGAATTTTATATAAATGCTGCACCAAGGACCCAAGATTCGACCGTCTGACACGAAATTCGGCATATCTTACTAACATGAGTCTAGTCAAATGTATGTTAAGTTTGATGGAAATCGCTTCATATTTCGATATAGCTCCCATATATAATATCGTCCGATTTCAAGCAAATGAGGCACCAAAAGCCCATCGTTTGGCCGATTGACACAAAATTTTGTATAGCGTACTGATTTAATAATAAAATTATGTGTGTTAAATTTGATACAAATAGGTCCAGATTTCGATATAGCTCCCACATATATATTTTCGTCCGATTTTAGGTAAATGGTGCACCAAGGACCCAAAGTTTGATCGATTGACATGAAATTTGGTATATCTTACTAAAATAAGTCTAGTCAGATGTATGTTAAGTTTGATGGAAATCGCTTCATATTTCGATATAGGTCCCATATATAAGTTCGTCCGATTTCGGGGAAAGATCCTCCAAAGGTCCAATGTTTGTTCGATTGACATGAAATTTGGTATAACTTACTGAAATGAGTCTAGTCGGATGTTTGTTAAGTTTGATGGCAATCGGTTCAGATTTCGATGTAGCTCCCATATATAAGTTCGTCCGATTTCTGGAAAATGGTGCACCAAGAACCCATATTTTGACCGATTGACATGGAATTTGGTATACCTCACTCAATTGAGTCTAGTAGGATGGGTGTTAAATTTGATGGAAATCGGTTCAGATTTCGATATAGCTCCCATATATAATTTCTTCCGATTTCAGGAAAACGGGGCACCAAAGGCTCCAAGTTCCTCCGATTGTCACGAAATTTTGCTCGGATTACTTATTTGAGGTTAGAATGATATGTGTTAAGTTTCGTTGAAATCGGTTCAGATTTCGATATAGCTCCCATATATAAGTTCGTTCGATTTCAGGAAATTGGTGTATCAAAAACCCCAATTTCGTCCGATTGATATTTTTTACTGGTTTTCTTTTATATTCTTTATAAAATCTGCCCTAGAGCATCTAAAACCCTTCACCCCAGAAAAAAATTTCAATATTTTTTTTAAAACTCTCATTTCAATACTCTTTTGGCATTTAGAAAAAAAATAGTTTTCATTATTTCACAATTTTTTTTTTTGTATTTTTCATTTTTCTTTTCTATATTTTATACTTACCTCCGTTTCTTTTTCTTCAAAAAAAATTTATATAATTTTTTTTTAATTTTTGAAAAAATTTTAATTTATTTATTTTTCTTTTTTTTCAAAAAAAAACAGATGTAGCAACCATTTGTTCTAATTACAAAAAGCAATGACAACATATGTATCTTTTATAAAATCTAAACTACAATTTTTTCCAAAAAAATGCAAAAAAAATCTAAAAAATCAACAACAAATAAAGAACAAAACAATTCGTATACAACTCACAGACAATTTAAAAAAAAAAAATTACAATCCAATAACATTCGTGACAACATAGAAAGCCAAGTTAAATACCAAAAATTAAAAATAAAATTCAAAAGTGCGTATTTTTGATTCGTATAAGAAATATTATTTTTTTATTCCTTTTTTTCAAAAAAAAAAAAAAAAATATTTTTAATTTAATTTTGTGTCTGTGTGTATGTGTAACTGAGTGTGTAATAATTGTTATTTATTTTTTTATAAAACTCTACTGTCTCTAATTTTTTTCTTAATCTTAATTTTTTTGTTTAATTTATTTTTTATTTAAAAAAATTGTTAATTAATTTATTTTTAATTCTTTAAAATAATGTGCATATACTTATATATATATATATTTTTTTTTATTATTTTTAATTTTCATATTTATATCATATTAATATCAATGTGAATGTAAAAAAAAATATTATTTTAATTAATAGTGATTGTTTTCATTAAATTTAAATCTCTTATAAGATTAAAAAAAAAAATATAAACTTTTAGCTTTAAATAAAATAATTTATTGTTTGTAAAAATGAAAATGTAATAATTATTATTATTATATTATGTTCGTGTATAAAATTAATTTTAAATTTTCTATACTTAAATAATACTAGTCGTAAAAAAATTATTTTTTTTTATATTACAACATTAATATTTTTTTATTTTAATTTATTCATTTTTTTTTAATTACTAAATAAATTTTTTTATAAAATCAAAAAAAAAAAAATAAGTTTTTCTATTAAAATTTTGTACTCAACACTACTACTGTTAATCATGTGTGTTGCATACTTTTAGGCGCATTCATGTTTTTCTTTTTATACCCTTCAACGCACTGTGGTACAGGGTATTATGGCTTGGTGCTTATGTTTGTACCAGGCAAAAGGAAACGAGATAGACCCATGGTTCTTTTTGAGAATATGTATAGAATTGCTTCCTGAGCCGATTTATGCATGTCCGTCCGTCTGTCTTTCCGTCTGTTGTCAAAGTACAGGTCGCATTTATGCTTCGAATTGGATGAAATTTGGCACAGCTGATTTATTTAGCCCAAGGACAAACCCTATTGAAATTGGGAAAAATCGGTTCAGATTTATATATAGCTCCCATATATAATCTCATCCGATTTAAGGTAAACGGTAAACAAAGGTTCCTATATATTTTCGGATTTGCATGAAATTTGGCATACCACACTGACTTAGTTCTAGCGTAATGTGTGTTACGTTTCGTGAAAATCGGTTCAGATTTCGATATAGCTCCTATATATATTTTCGTCCGATTTCAAGTGAATGGTGCACCAAAGTCCCTATATATACTTCGATTTGCACGAAATTTAGCATAGCGTTCTGAATTAAGTCCATAATGATGTGTGCTAAGTTTCGTGAAAATCGGT